ACCTTCATCCCACCTGTACAGAAATACTAACAGATGAGGTTACAAACCCCACACGCCCCCAAAAAGCCCCCAAACTGTTAACTTAAGTCTTTTGAAAATCAGGAATTGCATTTCCTTGTAGCAATGCCTGCCTAGGTACCAACATGTATGCTGAGGAGGTGCTGTAGCAGTTCTGCTAACACTGTCAAAGCAGCTACTGCAGATGTAGAATTGCTTATACATCTGTATTTTGCCTCTGCTTACCAGTGGTTTTCATAGTTTTTTTTCAGAGAGGGCTGGCTTTGATATTGCTTTGGATTGCAAGATTCATAGCATGAACTTGGTACAGTCGCCTTGAAGATCTCTTAAACTGATTTTCACACAAGTTTGCAAGTCTGATTCCTCCATTTTCTGCAACTTTAAGTTGAGAAGAAGTTAAGAGAATCTAGCCTGGATTGTCTTTCCATGTCTTTTTCTGAGACCACAACTCAGGCTGATCAACACTTGACAAGGTGTTTTGAGTCCTCAGGTTACCCCTATGGCCATGGTTAGATGATTCAGGAGCAACTTCCTATCACATCTAACCAACAACCCGTGCCAGGATCCCAGGAAAAGGTTGCAACCAGTTTGATTCTCCGGATTGACTTATCATCATATTAGATGAGCAGGAGAAAGAAGGTCTGGGCCAGCCCCACCTTAAAGTGGTTTAAATGGTCACAGCATCACAACCATGGTAATTGTAAAGAGATACTTGTCCCTTTCTTGCTTGCCTGATTCTGCCCTCCATGATGCCAGCACAAATTTTTGAGAAGTGGCACAACAATCTACATCAGAGGATGGAACCAGCTGAGAAAAACCATTCACTGATGGAAAAAAAAAAAAAAGAAAAAAAAAGAAGGAAGTATTTTTTCCAGATCCTCAGGTGCCTTGATGTAGAGGGAGAGAAAAGGACCCTCCTCAGTCATCAATGTCACTGATGGAAGTCTACATACAATGAGCATCCAAGTCTCAAACAAAGCAGATCCCTGGAAGCCAGGGACTACAGCACAGCTACTGCAGCAGCCTTAGCAGAGCAGCTGGAAGGTTTTGCTTGGCTTTATCAAGAGTCATTTACTCCTCTTCAGAAGGATGACAGATCAAGAAAACTAGAACATCCTAGGCATCAAGACGAGGTTCACTGACACACACTAATGGTTACCTGCCTTCTCACATGTCAAATTCACTCTTTATTCATGCAGAAGCCAAAGCACAGAATACGTTTTGGAATCAGAAAAAATTGCTGCTCTCAGTGATATCCCAGTTCATAACTGTGCTTTATGGGTCTTGACTCCACAGTAACCAGGAAGAAGATTTACTCCTCACTTTAAGCTGTACAGGAGGGGAGGTGATGGTCAGTAAAAATCAAGGTTTAGGATCTAGTTTAGGATCTTATGGGCAACCTAACTTTCGGAGAAGAACAAGGCAGATCTTTAAATCACGTCTCCTGGAGCTTGGATCTCACCTGAGCAGCAATACATACACATCCATATAAACATGAAATGCTTTTGCTGAGGTATGTTTGCTTTATCATTATTTTTCTCTCCAATGTCTCACTGCAGCTGAGGCTTATTCCAGCCTCATACCTGACAAACGAGGCAATGGGTGCTGCTTTCAAGGCCATGGAGAAAAAAAGATGAGCTTTTGAAATGAAATGCAAGAGGTTCCATACACATATAGAGTGTTTTCCCTTCTCGTTTTGTAGGGATTCTCGTGACCTTGCAGTGTCGTAATCAAGAAATTAATTTCACACTTGATGGTCTGGTTCTGCACAGCTCTACTCACACACCTGCACTGCAAATAAAAATGCTTAACCAGCATTTTAGTCACTAGATGAATGTTTTTGCTTTTCTGAGCTTAAACAAGGATTTAGCATGATTTACAGAGAGCAGCTGCATTTCACAGAAAAGCATTGAATGCACCGAACTGCTAATGCGCAGAGAAGCCCTGTGACTTACTTTTAGCGGTCTGCAGGGTTTAGGATAAGGGAAGTTACAAGCACTTTAGAGAAGACTCCTGGTGAGAAGAGGAACAGATCACAGCATGATGAAACAGAGGCAGTTTCCCGTAGGGAGAAGCAAGCCTGGAGACAGCCTTAGAAGCAACAACAGACATTTGCACTTGATGTGGAAAGACCAGTGAAGAAAACTTACTTCAGTCCAGCAGATGACTTTAACAAAGGTTTAGCACACAAGGAGGCCAAAACTTCTACTTTGTGGGAAGACACACTGAGCTGGAACTTTGTTAGAACAGATCCTCCAGCAGGACTGCAATGCAGAAGCCAACTCTGACCCACCATAGCAAAGAAACTGGCTCTGAACACTTAGAGAAGGATTTGCCTGCATGAGTAAAACTGTCTGCAGAGCTGTGCAATGCCTTGCCTTTCACCCTCACCTCTTTTCAAGTCAATGGAAACCAGGCAAGAGGGTTTCCTTCTCTCTCAAAAGAGAGACCTAAAGCAGCTCAGGTGAACTGTGCCCTAATATTTCCTCTTCTCTCCACTGATCAAGCAAGCCTGGGGGAAATTCCTCCATGTCTTAGGCTGCAATGTGAGATGTAACTAAAAGTATGGATTCTATAACATCTGTTAAAACCAGGTGGGGCAGTGTTTCTTGTCTCTTCCATGACCCATCCCTCATAACTCCAGGGGGATATCTTCTGTTAATGGGCCATTGAGTCTCACTGCGTGACTGATAAAATGACATAATTCCATTGTGAGATGCTCCACCCAGGGGGAGGAGTCAAGCATTCCTACCTGGATATGATCAGAGACTTGGAACACTGCAGGCAGCCTTTCTCCACTGGATTCTCAGATGAAGACTGGGCCCATCTACACCACCACTGGACCTTTAGAGGAAAATGACGCCCTTCTATAGGATCACTGCTTCAACAGACACTCCAGGAGGACTGCAGCTGCCATTTAATCAGACTGCTACCAACACCCTGACCAACAGAATGTCAGGTTGTATTGACAATACAACACTGTATGGTGTTTTTTTGTAGTACATTTTATTTTAATTTTCCTATTAAGTTGTAGTTCTGGAGTTTTTTTATACATACTAGTAAAAAACTGTTATTCCTACTCCTATATCTTTGCCTGAGAGCCCCTTATTTTCAAAATTACAGTAATTTGGAGGGGATTTACATTTTCCATTTCAAGGGAGGCTCCTGCCTTCATTAGCAGATCCCTGTCTTTTCAAACCAGGACATTCCATCACCTGCAGGTGTCTTACCACAGGAATCTCACCACCACCACCTGCGTGGCTCCCAGCAGACATTTTATCCTGTTCCTAGATTTTTATTCCTGCAATGCTCCTGGCTGGCCTACCTACCCAGCTGTGGAGTGAACCTGCAGCTGCAACAAGCAGAGAGAGGGAAGTGTTTGGTGCAGCCAACACTCTCTCCCTTCCAAGGTGGCTTTCGTCACCTCTTTGCCTGTCTGTTTTCACAGCTGCCAAAGGGCAAAGTGTCAGCTTGCAACAGGCTGTGGGGACAGGGAAAAGCTGATTTTTGGGCCCCAACACAAGACTCAGCTTCTGCAGTACCTCACCATGTGGGAGGCCAGCCCATGTTGAGGGAAAGAGCTGGGACTGGATGTATGGAGTGGGGGCCATGGGAGGACCAGCACAAGCCTGATGCTGTTTCAGCAGTGAGGCAGGGGACAGGCATCGTGGGGGTCTGACACCACACATCCCCATAGTGCTTTGTGCAAGAAGCAAGTGACAAATGTAGGGCAGGGAGGTGGCGTGCGACCCCCCCTGTCTCCAAGCTGATCCTGTGCCATGGGACGTCGGGGTATGGCAGCTGAGCCGGGCTTAGCTGCCTCCCGGGGTTTAGTGTCAGTGCTGCAGCATGGGCTGAAATTATCAGGGCGGAGGATTTTCTTTTGGCAGATGCCAGGAGAACTGGAGCGGCTCAGGGAAGAAAAGTGATGAAGGGCTCCTTTCCCTCCACCCACTTCTATCAATGGGAAAATGAAATCTTACCACGTAGAAATGGAAATTTTGATTTCTAGCGGTATGTAAGAAACTGGAGACAGAGGAAATGCTGATTAAAAAGCCAGTCCGTACCCTTAACGTGCTTGTTCTTGGTGCAGTGATGATTGCCCTGCCGGCGGCGTGAAGTGTTTCCAATTGTAAAGGGCCCAAGGCCATCAAAGAACCAATAATATTCTTATCAGCGACAGACGGTACGGTTACTGAAAATCCTCTCCAGTAATGACCGGCTTTGCTGTGCTCCGCTGGAAAGAGTGATGAGCACAAAATTCACACCCAAAGCAGGGCTTTTAATTGCTCAGGGCTCCATATTCTCCAGAGCTGTGCAAACCCGAATCGCTCGCTTTGCAGATCCCCAATGCTATGGAGGAAAACCTCCATAGCTGAACGAAGCCGAAGTCGCCGTGACCTTGCTCCCCCTTCCCGAGGCCGCACAGCACCGCGCTATCCCTTTCCCTTTAATCTGAACGCCCGGGGCTCCTCCCGGGTGGCTCCCCGGAGCCCCCGGTGTGCCGCTCTGCACGCAGGGGTTCACCTGCCACCTAGTGGGCTTTCCCCATCCCTGCGGCTGCCTCCGCTTTATCCCTCTCCCGGGCGGGCAGCGGGGAAAGCCCGGGGAGCTGTGAGTCCCGGGAAGCCGTGCACGGAGCCTCTGCTCCCGGGGCTGCGGCTGCGTTCCCCCACAGGGGCTGTGCACCCGCGGGAGGGGCTGTGTCTTTTGGGATGGGAGGGAAATAGTGGCAAACGGAGGGAGCGTGCACCGACCGGGGGGAAGCGCAAGCTCAGGAGGGAGGGGACACGGAGGAGGCTCGCTCCAGGCGGGCCGTGCCCGGGGGTGTTCGTGCTGCCGGGGTCTGCACGGACGGAGCGGGGCCCGGGGCGGGCACGGGTGTGCGCGTCCGGGTATTCCCCGGGGTGGGAAGCGCGCATTCCTCGGGGGCCGGCCGGGGCGGTGCCTCCCGGAGGGGCGCGGCGAGCGAGCTCCGCCTCCCCGGGGCCGCGGGCCGGGCTCAGCCTCCGGCTCGGGCCTTGCCTGCTCGGGCCTGGCCGCGCCGGGAGAAGCGGCGATGGAGGCTGCGGGCGGCGGCGGAGCGGCGGGCGGCATCGCCCTGCACGACTTCAGCGGGCAGCTGGGCGAGCAGCGGGTGCACTTCCACGCCATGCGGCTGCGGGACTCGCTCTTCCTCTGGGTGGGCGCCGCGCCCGCCCTCGCCAGCCTGGCCGTCGCCATGTGCAGCCCCCGTGTGAGTGTCGCTGCCGGGGTCCCGCCCGGGCCCTGGAGCCCCGCCGCCCCTAACCCGCGCTGCCGGGACTAAGCCGTGCCCTGTGCTGTGCTCCGCTTGCAGGACAGCATCCCGGTGGCCGCCTCGCTCCTGGGGGACCCCTCGGACACCGCCTCCTCCTGCCTGGCGCAGCGCTTGGGTAGGTGCGGGCGCGGCGGCTGCGGGCGGGGGGTGCGGGGAAACGGGGCCGGGCGGCCGGGTCGGCACCGGGCCGGGCCTCCCCGGCGGCCCTGAGCCACTAGCCCGGCCTGCCTGGGAGAAGAAGGATACGGTGCGCGCTGCCCCGGCCGCAGAGCCTGCACTGCCGCAGGTTGCGGCAGCTTCCATCCAATCCAGCGGTTCACTTCTTTTTTCCATCCGTGTACGAGCCTGCGGCACCTGAGTCAGCGGCCTTGGGCACGCCGTGCACCGGCAGAAGTGAATTATTTGATATCCTTATCCTGGCTGCGGGTGCGAGGCAGGGGCAGCGCATGCCGCACCTGTCGAGTGGGGTTCCAAGTGACCTCCTCTCTGTAAACCTGTGACACTGCTGTGCTGGTGGGCGAGGTGGCCGTCATGCCAGGCACGTGCATTTTACCTGAAGATGAAGATCACATCTCGCACCTTTTAGCCCCCACATTCCGAGAAGTTTTGGCCTGGGAAGCCCAGGGTTGTCTCACAGATGCCTGGGCTTGATCCGACTGACCCAAACGGGCACCGCTCGGGATGCTTCCTTTTCCATCACATCATTCATGCAGAGTGCTACAGCTACTGCAACAGCTTGCAAACTCCTATGTCCATACTAAAAAGATTAAAAATACACCTAATTAATGCGTTCTGGCCCAATACATTCCTAGCACCTTCACAGCTCTGACAGCTGTATCATGCTGGTTGCTCATCATCACCCACTAGAGGCTGATGCAGCTCCAAATGGTGATCTGATGTGCTTGTTACCAGGTTTTAAAAGCAACATGCTGAGCTGCTCAGTCTCACCTTACTTCCTCTGTTTCACATGGAAAGACCACAGAATTATTAATGATCTGTGTGCTGATCTCCGTTTCAGACAGTATGTCCTGAGTTTGTATTGTCAGGCTCTTCCCTGAGTCTACACCTGCTTCTCCTCTATGGCCACATATAAAAAAGGGTTGCTCACAAGACTGATCTTTGAAAAGCAGTATTACTGTCTTTTCTTCTTCACAGTAACTTCTCTTTTAATAGACACTGTTTTAATCGACCATGGTGGCACAATTTTCTCTACACACTGAGTTCAGTCCTTTTCACTTTAAGTGATAATTTTATGGGATACTGTATCACGTGACTTCTTTATGTGTAATTAGTACCTTATCCTTAGGAAGTCAGTAAAAATGTAGTCAGAGAGGATTTATTTTGGATAAAGTATAACAGTTAATTCCACTTTCAATTTGGTCTCCTTGTCACTAATTTTTTCTGAATCATGCTCCAATTTTCTGTGTAGCATTGCAGCCCAGCTGACAGCTCCAAGTTATCTTAGTGATTCTCATACTCCTTTTGGATTTTTTTCTTTTCTACTTGTGCTTGCTATCTTCTCTCTTAAAATTTGATTTATTACACGTTTCATAGCTGAAGTTCATAATAACTTGGTATTTCTTCCATTAGTTCTTTCAGTGTTCTAGGACAGGCTGCCTGAGTCAACTGACTTTTCTTTCTCCTAATGAGTTGTCTGTTTTGCTGCCTTTTTTTCTTATCTTTTTATTTTCTCATTATTTTTTTTCTCCCTTAAGGTGCTTTTATTATTTTCATTACTAATTTCCCATACTTTGTAACTGAGAACTGATACTGTTGCTTGGTACTGGTCTATAGGTTACTCTTTATCCTTGGAGTATAACGCACCTTCCTGTTTTCTTTTTCTTTGTGTGCTTTAGGTATCTTTTGTTATTGTTTCATGATATGCATTTTATTATCTTAAACTTCTGAGCCAGCTGTGACCCAGCTAGGCTTCTGGTCCATGTTCCTCTGTGTCCATGACCTCTATCCACTGGGTTGCAGGTTTCCTTGCCAGTCAGCTCTTTTCATATTACTTTTATATGCTGTTCTTGCTTGTGCGATCCTGGTTAAGGTATATTATTTTGAGGAAGGCCTGTAGACCTTGCTCACCTTTGGTTCAAAGGGGAAGGTCAATAATTCACTTATGGCTTTGAAAATTATGTGCTTGTTCTTTACCTGAGCTTCTGGGAAAAGAAATACATCTATTTGAGAACTCACACCATAGTCTTCAGGCTGGCTTTCGACAGTCCAGCAATTTAGGTCAACTCACGGTCACTTAGCCCAAATTTATTTACTTATTTTTTTATTTATACTGAGACCAGTGGATCTGCAAGATCATCAACAAGCATCCCTGTATCTTTGTTTCACGAAGTGCTTGGTAGGGAAATCTGTGCTCCACCTCAGCTGGAAATACCCAGCTTTGCTGTTATTGGTGTGTAGTTTTTCTTTGGGAATTTAAATCCTTGTTACTCCCACAAAATCTGTAATAGCAGAGATGCTTTTCACAGCCAAGTCTGACTTGTTGTACTTCCAAGGGAGCCTTTTTGACCGTCCTGACATGTGGTAACCTTCAGGCAGGCAGTTTTCCTCCCTTCTCCTCCCCCTGCCACGCTTGTCACAGTTTTTTTCCGTGCAGTTTCTTGTCTCCACAGAAGCAATGCATGCAATGCTGTTTGCACATAACTGTTTCCATTTCTTACACGTGCCTGTCACATTCCACCATCTACCATGTGTTCCTGCAATGTCAGGTTTCCTGCCCTGGAGCAGGAGTTTCAGTGCTGCTGGGTATAACAGTGCACAGCTTCTCCTTTTGTTTTCTTTGTAGTTTGGTAGGTGTCCTAGCCACAACAGCAGCATTTCATGTATTGGCTCTATCACCTTCCTTATTTCTGATTTTTATTCTGTTGCTGAGGACACATGTGCTTCATTCTTATTCCTCTTTCTACATATATCTATCTATATCTGCTTGTACGATGTGCAGGGACTGTTTCCCACCACCCTGCCTGATTGCTTTGGCACAAGATGTGTCTCACTAGTCAGTAAACCCAAATTCTAACAATGTTTCCTGTAGGATACTGGAGGCCAGTTCTTGAGAAAGTCCTTGTCCATCAGTGCCTCCCTCAGGTGCATATTCTGGAATCACTGTGCTTTGGGCTGCAGTACTGATTAGTGCCATGTCTTCGATCTTCCTTCTGTAGGGACTGGTGGACTCTTGGTGAAGATCACCTCAACCTTTTCTTTGAGTGTTTCTCAGCCAGTCACTGATCACTTTCATCATCTCTTTTCCAGCATAGTATACAAACTTACATTTAACATTTGTCCTGCCTCTTCTGCTCCTGCTGGGCTCCTCTTCAAGCTTTGGTTTGGGCCTTTGCTCTGTACATGAAGTTGTAGGAGCAGATCTGTGCTGCTGTAGTTTCTCCTGGCACTCGGCACATCCTGGACGATGGCTGTCAAGGCTGTTTTTCCTCCACTCTGAAGAGCCAGTGGAACAGGGGTTATTAACAGGCTGCATGGGAAGCAGACCTGCCAGAGGGATTTTTAGGTAAGCCTTGTCCTTTGCAGTTTTTTGCTTTACTCTGAAGCTGCAGATGGTCTTCCACGGAGGCATAAGATCTGCCCTCTTTTGTCCTTTCCACAGAAGTGCACATGTCCAACTCAATCCTCAGGAAGCGAGGACAAAAAAGGTTCCCCTGCCCCTCAAAGCTGGGGCAGAGCCCTGGGAACAGAGGTCCTTGGCATAGGCAGCCCAGAGGGACTCCCAGATTCACACTGTTCCTGGGAACTGGAACAGCATCCCAGAGACTCTATAGGCAAACATAATTAAGAAGTTGAGTTCTGAAACTGCAGTGTACTATATAGTTTTGTTAGCATAATGGTATTAATTAGTTCAGAATTAGCACTGCATTCATTTAGGGCATGATGATGAAGCACTAGTGCTTACAAAACATGCTGCTTTACACCACAAAAATCTAGTGCCAGGTGCTAATTTTTGCAATCAGAGCACCAAGCTGCATTATATCAGCATTTTGTAGTGCCAAGTCCTAAAAGGCAAATGAGTCCTTGCATTTCAGAAGCAGCTCTACTTACTGAGTCAGGAAGCCGATAACCTGCTAGAATAGAAAATAATAAAAAATTCATTTGCGTAATGAAAATGCCTTAAAGGAGTTGTTTAACTACATTTTATACATACATATATACAGGTTTTCTGTATTTAACTATTTAGTTTCCTATTTAGAAATGACTGAGATCTTAGAAGTCCTAGTGTCTTTATTTTGAAGTTTTAAAAATTCTGGTGAATATTTCTGAATATTCAGCAGAACAGTCTGATTTGTGCCTGGGATCATTAGCTCCCAGCTGATTCCTGGACAAGTATATCTTGTGACCCAAATACTATTTTTTGTCTTCTATTTTACACAACTCAATTTAAATTTAGTGCCTGTTTTTCCCATATGGTGCTTACATTTTCCACAAAGTTTAGCATCAGTAATAGATAGAGACATAAATTTGCTATATTACTGTGGTAAAATTTAAGTAGGATGGCATTTCATTTATAAAACACTTCTTGATGTTATCTCTTGTGCTCTGACAATTAAGTCTTCTTGTCCCCCTGGACAGTTTTTTTTTTTGTCACTGTTAATTAGCTCTGTCATGGAAGCAGCTCTTAATTTTGTAGCACCTCTCTCTAGGTACTTGTCACTACAGTAGCCTGGAACTTGTGCTTGGCTTCATCATGTTCAGCAAAGGTTCTCCAGCCTCTTGGAGCATTCATGGACACTGTATGAAAAAAGGTTAAAGGAAACAAAATTTGACAGCAAGCTTAGACAGAACTGGTGCATAGCTTTTTGGGGCCTTTTAAGGCTTATGAACCTTTAAAGGTTCATAAAAAAATCAGAGCTTCATTAATTTTGGCTCAGTCACTTTCTTCTGTGCTTTCCCTCTAATGTTTTACACAGCACAGATTTACAAACTCAGAATTTCAGTGCTAAGAGTCCAGTACAGTCTGTGGTTTCACTTACAACGTAAGCTATTTAAGAAGCATCCAAAAATCCACTACAAGCACTGCAAGGCTTTCCAGTGACTAATGGTGTCATGTGTCAGGTCAAAAACTTGTTGACAGTCACGAGTCTTATATTGTTCACTTCTGTGATGTGCAAAATCTTGCCCAACTCCCCAGTGGTCAGGGACTTCTGCTGTTCCTTTGTAACTGCACCCAGCACAGCAGGAGTGGAGAATGTCCTAGAAATCTGCATGATGGGGCTTTTTAAGAGGCTTGCTCAAATGCCATCCTCACTTTTATAAAAGAATAAACTCTGTTTTGTCTTTTAGCCAGCAAGACCAAAAAGCAGATATTTGTCAGCTACAATCTTCAAAACACAGACAGCAATTTCACCTTACTCATAGAAAACAGGATCAAAGAAGAAATGACAGCTTTTCCAGAGAAGTTCTGATTGTGCATCATTGTAAAAGAAGATGAAGGTTTTGTTTCAGAAAAACTGTTTGCAATTTTCACACTGACATTAAGTTAGTATATTTCTTTTGTATTATTTTGATTGAATTTGTGGTTGTTATTAAATATAGATACACTTGACTTGGATTTTCTTTTTTTCAAATACAATTTGATTTTTCAAAGCAAAAATTTTATTTTTGCTACCCTGCCAAGTAGGATAGCAAATGGATGCTGCAAGGGATGAACATGATTGAAAAAGTGCATGTGGTGTCTGGCTTCCACACAGTACTGGGATCTGATGGCAAATCAGTTCCAAATGCTATCTGTACAATTAATCTACTGTGTACTAGCACTGAACATAGTATAGCAGCTTTTAGCGTTAAAATAAAGAAACCCCACATTTTTGTATGGTAAAGCTGTGACACGAGTGTTACTTTTGTCTTTTTAGCCCCTCTTGGTTGTAGTACTGGTGTTAAAAAATGGATTTCCTTCCATCCCTTGGGCACTAAGAATGCTAGAAGGATTTCACAAAGGGTTATTTATGCGTCCCTGAGGACTACATAGAAGGAAAAAGCACAGTTGTTGTTCTAATAACTTCTGGCACAACAGATAAATCTGTCAGGCTGCTAGAGGAGCATCACATGTAAATTGCGCTTTTACATAAAATGAGAGAGGTCTCCTACCATGACCACCAGTTAAAAACATCCTGCTGCTACATCTCTGGACTTGCTTTCAGACAGGATGTGTATCCTTTCAAGGGCAGATCCAGGGGCTGTTTTGTTTAATAAGATTGCAGCTAGGAGTTTTAACTATCCAGGTTTTTGTGGAGATTTTTTTGTTGGTTTTTTTTTCATTCTGAGTTGAGCCTTGACTCAAGCTCCAGCATCAGGTTCTGATACAAACCAAAACTAAACTACTGGTGCTGCTTCTAAACTGTCCTAAGCACCTACAGAAAAGTGATGAATTTACCTTGCTATGGTGCCACAATCAGCAATTAAAAACTGTAACCAAGTGGCTGCTGCTGTAGAAGGCACAGCTGCTGGGTCTCTTGTCCAAAAGGGTTTGAACACCCAGTGGCTTAAATTTCTCAGATTTGGTGTGAGTGCAGAGGGCCCCTCCTTACCTGGTGGGAACAGCTGCCTGTCCTTGGCCGCAGTTCAATATCAGAATAGCAAAAAGCAACTGTTGAAAGGTATTTTCTTTTTAATTTACACTGCTCAGGAAACAGTCGACTATGCTTCTGTAATTGACTATAAAGGATAATTAGTTGCAAATCAATGTGCTGTTTTAATTAGCCTGATTTACAAACAGCTCATTCTGTTTGTAGAGCAGGGTAGGGCTATGTGCTGAGGCATCAGCTGCTGCTGGGTGTTCGAGAACTCACTGCAAGGGAGCCAGACCAGGGAGAGCAAACTGATGGGACAACGTCATTTTATTCTGTACATTTACATACAAAGTTCTTCTCAGTAGGTACAACAGATGTAACATCATGCAGACATTTAGCTTGTAAGACTGTTTTCAGTACTTGATTTAAGCTTGTGCTATGAGGAAGCACCACCAGACTATTCATGATCAAAACATACAGTAACACGATTCTTTAAAACTTCATCGGAAACTGAAATGGGGAGGGAGATCTCGCCCACTAGACAAAACACACTGTACTCCTTTCCTGAAACATTTTACACGATACATTTAAAATGAGGTTTGTAATTTCATTTTTTTCTTAAAAAACAAAATAAAAAAGAGTTACAGTGGGGGAGATCATCCCTCCACTTGATAGTGTTGTCTTATGTGCCAGCTACAGGCGCAACTTGATTTGACATTCACAGAGTTCAGTTAATGGCACTTCTGCTTCCATTTTGGTGACCAATAAAGTGTTTGGCTCCAGGAAGTGGCAACAGTTAAGCAAAATACTTCCACTAAAAAGAACGACAACAAAAAAAAAGCCTACTCAGTGAAACCCAAAAGTAAATCACACAACCCCCTTTCTGAGTGGCCACAAAACACTTGCAAGCAGGTGACTGTTGCTATCTGTTTGCAGCGTGTCTGGCAACAAAAGCAGTACTGGAACCTTAAAAGGGGGGCAAAACCCCCAGGATCAAGCATAATGTCACTTCACATTTTTGTTTGAACTTACAAAGATGGAGAAAGCCCTTAAATGGTAAACCCAAAGAAAAATCTACTGATGGGCTTAGAGGTTACTGAAGGTTCACAGAAAAAGGCGAAAAATGGACAAGACAGCTTGGACTGCTTCCCCTGTTGTGGTGGCCAGAAAGAGCCGCCTGAGAAAAGCCTTTCCTGGTGATGGCTGCAGAGGAGACATGGCCGAGGAGCCAATGGTGCAGCAGGCTGGGACTCCAGGAGAGAGCCCTGTCCTGCTGCAGGACTAGACAAGGCAGGGCAAGCATCCCCATGCTTCCTTTCTGCCCTGCTGCATCACCCGGTACCTGGATCCTCCACACAAGATAGGTTTAGTGAAAGCTTTCCAACCCCGTGAGCATGTGTGGAAGAATGTAATTGTCACAGAAGTGTTCATGTTTTCAGGAAAAGGAGCAAAACTGGAACTGCCAAGGCAGGAAATTAGTTTTTGCTTTATTGTTGTGACAGAGGCAGGGGGCCAGACCAACTAGAGAAGCTGGGGCTCCCTTCATTGCAGATCAGTACCAACTACCTGGTTTGAAGCAAAAAACAAAAAAGCAGCAAATCAAATCAACTTCACAAGACTTTTTTCTTAAAAAAAAAAAAAAAAAAAAATTAAAGTTGCTGCATGTTCCTGTCACCTAGTGTATTTACTATCTAAATTGGTAAGTTTAAACAAGTATTCTTTTCCCTGTGCCTGTCATCAGAGAGCAACCACCAGAATAGGAAACGATAAAGCGCTGTGGACAACAGCGGTGAGCTCACCAGGACCACTGACAGTGCTGGAAGCAGCCGGGTTTATAGGCTTGTGGATGTTCTACAAGAGCTGTACCGCGGCTTGAGCACGCGGGCCACGAAGAAGACCAGGAAGGAAGGAGCCACTGGCTCCACGGCACGATGGATGGCAGGACGCTGCTTTCTGCCTCTGCGCTCGCACCTTCTCCTCTCTCAGGCCCTTTTTCTCTTCCCTGAAGCCTTGTTTCGCTTCTTCAGCTTTTTGTTGTGAACCCGTTTCTTTCGTCCCCGAATGTGTGTGGCTTGCAACAAGCATCTTGCATCGAAGGCAAAAGGTATTGCACTAATTTGGTGTGTCAATACTGCACAAGTGGGGAAGGGCTGGGCTCTTTCCTCAGGTGAACACAGACTGCAAAGGTCTTGGCTCAGAACGAGAAGAAGCAGCCACACTCAAGCCTGACAATAAAACTTGAGCGTAAGGAAGATCAGGCTCTTGTTGTCACAGCAAATCTAGCAAAGGTGAAAAAAACCAGTAGTGTAACTCTGGGCAAAACTACCACCAACTGCTCCAGTGTTTCTTACCAGGCTCAAGAAGAACCCAAATGTCCACATCATCCTCTGTAAAAATTAGCAGCTTTAGGACAACGTTGTTACTCTGAACACAACCACCTCTGTTGCTTCTGCAGGTCTACCTGTCCCCTTGCACCCGTCAGCGTCTGAGGCTGTGCTACTTTACTGCGTGGCCTGCCGGGGAGCATGGATCTCTGATTTATTGGGGACTGTAAGAGGACATCGGCAGCCTAATGGAGGATGGAAATCGTTAGGTACAGTAGTTAATTGACAATATATACAGCAAGGGAGGAAGGGGAAGGGAAGGTAGAGGAGGAAAGTGCAAATGAGCACTTCCCCCTGCATATAAACGCAAGATGTACATCAAACAAAGTGGCAATCATACGGACACTCAGTACAACATTGACATCCTGCTGCTCTGTTTGAACGTCTGCACTACCGAGCAATCACAAATGGATGGCCTGAGTGAGAAAGGAGAAGAAGGAGGGAGGGAGAGAGGGAGAGAGGGGAGGGTTAACTACAATGCAAGAAATCTGTTAACAAAGTCCTTGCATTGAATTAGGTCCTCACGATATTCTCTTGAGTGAGAACCAAAAGCCAATGGCCAAAGGAGATAGTTGGTTTGGGGGCTGGAGGAGAGAAGTCAAGTGGCCACTATCAAAGTGCCATCTGCACAGTAGGAGGCAAACTGGATGTTCACTTTGTGTAGAATTAATCCAATTTAGGTAAACTTTTTCTTTCCTGAACTAAAATCTTACAAGAGCAGTTGGGAAATAAGGGTGAGTTCATTGTATATTCTTGGGTCAGAAACAGAACACATCTCTAAGAACTCAAGACAGCTCAGTAAGTCATTATTCACATATCAATTCATTCCTTTCCAACATTAATTGAAGCATTTTTTCCACTTAAATTGAAAACCCAAACCCTGATTCTAAAAACACTTAATACCAGGACACTCATTTCCCAGGAGCAGAAATCCCAGCTATACTGCCTTTTGGAATAAAGTTATAGATTGTTGCCCATGCTCCTTATTATTTATCACTGCTAGTCTAGGCTTTTCTCCTGGAGCAGTCAGAGATCCTGGGCCTCCTGATAATTATAGCCATTCTAGGCAAAACTCATTTTTGCATCGTTAGTCAAATAATTTGCATCATCTACATTACTATTAAGGACCAGTGGCAACCACCTAAAATAGATTACTATACTCTTAAAATGCAGAAAGCTGATTCTTATTAAAAAAACCAGCTTGTTTGGGTAGGATTTTCTCCAATGCATTCAGTGAAAACAAAAGAGGACTAATTTAGAAAGTAACTTTTAAGTGCACATGGGCTATAAAGACAAATATAAGCTTCATAAAATGCAGTCAGAGTTTGAGTCACAACAGGTTTTGCTTCACTTTTTCTTCTTTTTTTTCCTTTTTTTTTAGTGTATACAAACACAGCAGGCAATCTGGGCACTTGGACTTTCTAGACAGGCAGAAAAATGTCGCACAAGTCTAAGTTTAAGTCAATTCAACTTTGCAGTGAATCCTTCTTTCCTTTAAAGAAACACAAAAACAAAACAGAAAACAACACTCCCCCTCCCCCCATGGTTTCTTTCTTGGAATGGCTGCACCTCTTATAAGATGGCTTCATTTTTGTGATCTATGAAAGGAAAAGGAAATAAAGTGCTTCTTGAGAATAAATCAAAATAAATATACATATTTAATGGCAGGAAAAAAAGAGTTCTGAAGGGCTACTGCCAGCCAGGTCTTTTCTCAAAAGAGTCTTTTCCCCCAAAACTTTTCAAGAGTAATCTGCGTAACTGTTGAAGATGCCAAAATTTGCTTTAGTAGCAGAGTTGAATTCCTCTAAGTTTGTGTCTGCTCCATCACTGGTTTGTAAAATCTGTGCAAAACACCTTTGCCCAAAGTGCTACTCCTCCCGCACAACAGCATCAAATAAAATACAAAAGGAAGATAAGAAATAGAAG